CGCCCCGCGTTCAGTCAGGCTGATTAGCAGTGACAGCATGTCAGAGGTCATTACCATTAAACATACCTCAGCGAGCGGTTTAATGGAGCTGTTATTTTTACCACTAGCAGCTTTCACAGTCGGGTTTAAGGATCAATAGCAAACCAAGTCAGGATTAAATGTGAGCACCCTCTGCCGGTCAGCAACGAGGAGCCCGAGCCCAGCAATTCTGCACCACCTGTGAACCCTGGCTTCTATAAGACTGCCACTGCACAACAGGGTCACTGACAGCTGCGACATAAAGGAGGAACAACTGAGCATCCTTAAGCCACAGTTGGGGCTTATCCCATAAGGACGTTGCACTGTTTTTTTTTCAATAGATTAGCCCATTTTCAAAACCAAGCTCCTGTATGCTTGCATGTGTGCTATAGGCATACACATGTACACAAACATATATATAAAACACACATGAATTTATGTCCACATACCTGCATATCTGTGTATACAGATATATGCACAAATATTTCCTTGACTGCCTTCTTCCACAAACTGGCTTACCCCTGCTTTTCCATTTTCTTACTCGCATAAGGAGGATATATTTTTAACCACTCTGAGTGTATTCTACAGACATCCAGTCTATATGGAAGCATGTATCTATAAAGCAGGCCACCTTTTATGCATCCCAAGCAAAGCCTACAGCCATCCATTATAAAAGGGCTAGGTCAGCAGCATTTAGCTCCTCTCTCTCCAAGGAGAGATGCCAAATAAAGCAAATTTGTGCAGAAGGTACTATGTGGGCTGCCTGCAGCTGCTCACTTTCTTAGAAAAAAAATCTCTGAATGAAGCCTCCTCCTTCATCAGACTTTCATTAAATATAGTTCTACGGCATGTCAGGAATTTAACATGTGCTATAGCTTCAGAGCAATGATGCCATGTATCCTACAAATGAACACTGTCCAATTCGGCCTTCTTGCACTTAAGCAAACCCATAAATGCTCCTTCAGAGCCTCCTGCCTAGGCTGGCAGCAAGCAGAATAATTTAATATACATCTTAATATACACCCATGTGTTAAGTGTTCCTCCCAAATGCCAGTCTCTGCTTTAGGACCCCCCAAAGCAGAGCCTCCTGCACAAGGAGGGATATTGCACAGAGMGGCTCCTGCAGAACAGAAGAAGCTGCAAGATGGAAGAGTGAATGAAAGCACCCACGTGAGCCCTGCAGCGTGTGCTACAACGATGCAAAAACACCTAAAACACACCAGAAAAACCCATTACCTACTGCCACACTACAAACTCAACTCGCTGGTTGGTAAAAGTGTTGCAATGCAAAACATAAAATACCTCCAAAAACGATGATGTGACTGAATTTCAGATAAGGGAGAAATTTAGTTTATTAATCATTGGGTTAATCTATTTATTCACCTTGAAAAAAAAGAATCACTGGTCAGGAAAAAGTCTATTAAAAGAATACAATGATTCAGCTGCCACCTTCCTCTCTGAGTAAGCAATCAGAAGACGCCCCTTTGAACTCTGCATTAATAAAATTCTCATTAAATGCAAACCTGCACAATGTTATCTTAAAGAGGTTCATTAGGTTCAAAAAATTACTCTTCTCCAAAGTTGCTTATTTTCTTAGAAGTGAGAAAAGGTGAATTTTCAAGCCACTAACTGCTGGGGCCTAGATCAACCAACCAGTGCTGCAATCACATCTGGCTGTCCATCGTACCTTGATCATTTGCACATTGTGCACAGACAAATCCATGGAGAGGAGTCATCATCCCTGTTACAGGTAGGACACTAGTAGGGAATCGCAAATTCCAGCAAGGTGTGAAAGATTTCAGCCTTCTTCAAATTTCCATTTTAATTGTCTTTAAGGGGAGGTGTAAATGGCAGGTAGGGCCACAAACAYGTCTCAGTACTTAAGCATTTTTTGTAAAGGAAAGAACCTTGGAAATGGAAAGCAATTCCTGATTTCTGCTCTTCTCACTTAGGTAAGAATTAGAAAAGTCAGATAAACTACAGCAACAACAACAAAACATGAGCAGGCATGTTAGGAAAGAGTGGCATAATAAAGACAACAGCTACAAGATATATCTTACTGTGTCCTCTATATCTGCATACCAGTAGAACCTCCCTTTAGCTGAGGTTAGACAAGCATGTGTCACTGATCCTTTAGGTATTCCTCCTCATTCTCCCTCTGTATAGAGCAATAAATTAGATGACCTCTCAAAACCAGCACTGCAGGGTCCAAACAGGTCTCCACTGTATGAGTCTCCTCACCTGATACTCCTTTAACACAGAGGCAATGTGCCCTGGAGAAGCTGCAGACCTCTTGCCTCCTGGCTGAAATTAATGTACTTCAGGATTTAAGAAGCTTGTAAAACCCCACCACATGCACACAGACATGTGTGACCTACATTTGTTATAGCTGCCACTGACTGCTCTAGGATAAGGAAAAGACAAATTTTAATTTTTGATAACTGTTATGAGACGGAGATATAAACAAAAGTGTGACTGACACCGACACAGCAAAAAAGAGGCAATCCTTGCTCATAAAAATATTCAGGAATGATGAAGTTGAGGGAAACATCCAATGTAAGATGATTTCTGTAAGCTCACACTCCTCTTGGCAAAGACACCCAGATAAGAAGAGTATGCCAAGACAAGCCTATATGGGGAAATTACAATCAAAAGGCCACTGAGGCAGTGGGAGCTACGACAGGCTCATATAGCAAATATGTCTTGTGATAATATGGTGATGCCTTAACATAGTTTGTTTCTTTAATGAAGCTACCAACAGGACAGTCCTAAAAGATGTATTGTTTTCTTAAGCATCTTTTCCCCATTTCTCTTAAGGAACTTGGGTTTGCACAGAATCATGCAGGTGCCACAACACACCGGAGAGCAACAAACGTGTGTGCTCAGCTCCAGTTTACGTTCCTGGCCTAAGCCCACAAGGAAGCCTTTGCATCAGCTCTTCCTACACTCACTGCAACAGAAGGAGAACAGCCAACAGCCCCTGACCAAAGGGTCTTCCCTAACCTGCAAGCATTCCTGCAGGAATAAACCCTGCTCATTTTCTGCTGCATGATCTGAAACTTTCACATGTCTAAACTCAACGTCTTAAGGCCAGAAAAGACAATTCTATTTTCACAGATCCCGACTTCATCACATTTCCCCATTATTCATAGAAATATTTTAAAGATAGGACAAATATTTTCATCTAAGGCATGCTCTCCTTCCACCCTCCCCCCAAAAAAGCCTCTAGTCCTAATCAGCACTACATCGTGTGAAGCTTCAATCAGCTGCATTAGCAGAAGTACCTTTGAATTTGGCCATCTTCCAACTGGCTGCTCTGAAATCTACTGGACTGAAGGACCCTTCAAATGTAATATTTTCATCACAATAAGAAAACAAACAAGGAGATGAAATATCCCCTCTCCTCTTTAGAAACCCTTTAGAAAGGGTAAGTCAAAAAGACTAAGTCTAATCTCTCTCCAGGCCTTGAATCTTTGAATCATCTCTAATGTACACCTTATCTAATTTCACTGAGTGAAAAGCAGTCATTAATGAAAATTAAGCTAAGCCTAATGAACAACTAGATGAAAGCCCAACATTCATGAGCAGTTGAGAGGGGAAAAAAATTTGTTACTCTAGACTATCAAAAGCCTAGAAGATGCAGAGTTTTCACAGGTTCCAGATAGCAGTGCACACTGAACACGTCTGATACAGCCTGTCCCTGGTGCTGCTTGTTTATCTTATCTTGTCTTAGTTGCATAGTGATCTTCATAAAAATAGCTATTAAGTCAACAGCCAATAAGGGAAAGCAAAAACCCAGAGGGGACCCCTTGGTGATCAGCTGTATCTCTAGCCAGTACAGACTTCTCTCCCTGGTATACAAATAATTCCCAGGGCAGACACTTTGTGTCACTTTAAATGACGCTACTTTGCCAACAGCTACCTGTTCTGCTGCTTCACACAGGSAGCATTATCTGCCCACGAGCATTCATTTACGTCTGTTTGCGAAAAATAAAAATAAGGATAGGAACAAAATAAATCTCTGAAGCCAGGCATGAGGTTATAAAGCCTACAGACCTATTAAGGGAACCTTTACGGTGGTTTATAGACACATAAAACGCATATTGACTCGAAAGATGCCCTCAGAGAATTTACCCTGCACAATGTCTTTCACAGGGAGGAAAACGACAAGCTCGAGCCRTGTACACAGTAGTAAGTTACCTGCTGCTTCATCGAAAGACATCGTTCCTCTCTGAAAGAGCACCTGTGAAGTGACTGGGCGAGCACTGGACGGCCTCGACCGGTATAAATACTCACATCTTTTATGGTTTGCTTACAAGTCAGAGCCAAATAGTAAATTCTCTCTCCCAGGTTTCTTCCATTTTCCTATCAAGTTGATTAAGATACATGATCCCAGTACTCCATCCTCATCAGTTCTAATATCAAGAAAGAAACAAAAATCTCCAGCCTCATAAGCAGAGCAGAGCTTCTGCCCTTGAACAGGCAAAAGAGGTTTAAAAGAATATTGAACTCTTTAAATAATCAGTTTTAAACACGCATTAAAAATTTGCACTGTTAACAGTGGCCTGGAATACGCTTATTATTGCTGGCTTATAGTCCCCTTCGTAGCTTCACAGAATTGCAATAGAATCACACAACAGAAAAAGAAATCCATTAGGCCAACAATTGCCCTGCCAGCACAGCATTGTTCCCGACAGCACAACTTTCCTCAGGGATGCTGTGAGGATTAATTCATTACAGCTTATGTCATGCTTTGAAAGCACTCAGTCTACAGCAGAACTAGGAATTACTAGAAAAAGGACAATCCCAGCCCAGCAACCCCATCTTTATCTTCCGTTGGCCTTGTTTAGAGCAGCAATTTCAACTAACAAAAGCAAACAATTTCAAAATCAAACTCAATACAACAAATGTGCAAGTGCCATGATAGGATGCAGTCACACTGAACAAGATCTCCAAACTGGTTATTAGCTTCTATTTCTTACCTAATATTGACTAATGCATGGGTCACCTTGCTTGCAGGCTCCTTCCACTGACCAGCATTGGTAGAAAGCCTTAGAACTGAAAGAAAAAAGACAGTAAGTGGTGCTAGCATTGAATGAGCAAAGTAACATTTTTTTTTTAATTCAAAACGTCAAAAATACCTTGTTGAGATGGCAGACACATGAGAAAAACAAAAAACTCACGGCAGTCTTGGACATGAAAGAACATGGAAAAAGTATCCAGGACAAAAATGAATGGGCGAAGGGAAGCAGGGGGGATAAAAAAAGAAAGGGATCAAAAGAAATCCAGCTGCTCTTAATTTCAGCATCCTTTGCTAACGTTGCTTTCCCTCAGAAATAGGACCAGAGACCCAGTCTGTACCATCTGCTCTTCTACACRTTATTTCTCTCTTCCAGCTCCTACTCACACAAGGTTCCACCTGAGCTAGACTACAGCTCATGATTTACACCTAGTCCAATAGTGATTGACTCTCTACCTTCTATCYGGAATTGCAGAAAAAGTACACACCAGTTTAGAGAAAAATGCTCCATTTAGCATCCAGGATGTCAGTCCTGCACAGATGGTCTCTGACAGACTGGGGAACGGCTCTGAAAACATTCTGCAATAGGAATAATTTCTAGTGAACCTAAATCTTAGCTGCCTGAATCCCCAGAATATTTATTTAGGTCAGAATCTGTAATGTTTCCAGAGTGCCAGGAACTTTTGTAGCTTCTCCTAGCTATCAAAGGGTAACAGAGTCCAGAGCAAATAATTGGGTTTTCTTCCACATTGCCTGTACAGAAGGGAAGCTTTTATGACTCAGTATATCCAGGGGTTTCTGGGGTTAAATCTTAGAAGAAAGGTTTGCCTTACACTTATACAAGAAGGAAAAGAAATTCATCCTAATTTAGGATCATCTAGAAACACTGACGCTACAAATGAACCTGTAGGCACTGTGGCTGAAAACTCAGACCTATTATTACACAAAAGAAGCTTTCAGTTCTGCAGATCTGCACAAGCTCAGATTCAGGACCAGAAAAATTTCMTAACTCCCTCCCCCCATAGCAGAGAGCTCCACATCCACCAACAGTAAAACTAACAGGTAAGGTAACCTTGCTTTTTGTGCRAACAAATGTCTGAGGACAAAGATAGAAGAGTGACTGCAGCTTAAGGGATATGCTCTGACAAAGCCAAGGAAACTACTGGGACAACTTGAACAGCTGACATCAAGATAGTGGCTCCTTCTCATTTTCTAGTGTTCCCATTATTTGGCATTTGCAGAGGGGGGAAATAGTCAGCTCTGATTAACTTTTTTTTTTTTGTCAGCGGGTAGGTATCATACTTTACTACCTCATGTAATGAATTCAGAGAGGGTTTCCATTCAGTCATCTACACTGTTAATTCAAAGGGTTTGCTCTATGTAGCAGGGTGGAAAATGAATTCATGTGATAAATGAATTGTTTCAACCAGTCAAATGTGCCTGCTGCAGCCCAGCTGAGTATTTGAGTGTGTTATTCTTCCATCACAGTTTCCTTCAGCTTTCAYAAGGGAGAGGATTGAAAAATTGCAGACTAGTAAAAGCACCTCATCTCACTAGCTGCAATTCTTGGGAGCAGGGAGTGGGTTAGCAAAAAATCTCATCTGCTCTGCAGACAAAATAAGCCTACTGATCCTGTGCACAAAACCTGAAAATTGCAGAAAATTTGTACTAGAGAACTGTCCATTTTTTGCTTGTTACCAGTGGGAGTATTTGGCTCTCTCTATTTTGGTAAAGATAATTCTTCACCATGCCAGCAGAGGTCTGTGGCCAACTGCCTTCCCCTCACCCTTTAAATCCCTTTACTGCTCATATCCCTCCTGTTGTTTGGGGGGGTGATCAAGCTGAGAAGAAAGCAGGGGGGCTGGGGAGGAAAGGTCCTTCTGGAACAAAGCAAACAAAGAACACAGATATATTATTTTCTTCACAGCTCCAAGCAGGCATTACACCAGCCCTGCTGCAGCCACCCTCGGCAGCAGGCTCCCGGTGTACCCTGCCTGATTGGGCCTCCCTGCATTCATTGCTTCTTTGTTCCTCTTCCTCCTGCTGGGTTTCTCTTGGTGGCATTCCAGCACATTCCTTCCTTTGAAGGATGGCAGTCTCTTCATGTTTTGCCAGCAGGCACATTCTTCAGTCCAGTGATTTGCTCGTCATTGCAAGCAGGTTTGTGGGGGCTGTTCTCTTGGTTTGTTTTAGCAATAAGCGCACTAAGTGTGATTTGTCTAGCACAGCCAGCTTCTGGTTGTAAATTTCTCAAATTCTTTTCCAAATTCTTGCTCTTGATGCAGCTTTCCAGTGCCGACTGGTTGTGTAGCTTGTGCTTGCCCTCTCATTTGAGGCTGCCAAATGTGACAGATGCAAACTACAAGTTGACTGAACTACACGAAGATACAGGAAACATGAACTCCCACATAACTAGTTGCAGCAATAAATCTGTATTTCCAGTCACTGTCAGCGGCTGCTATAGAGGTAACACGTCTCTGATAAAAAGTCTGGTTTCAGACTGAACAAAATGTATCCCTTTAACAAGCTTATCTCTACCTCAATTCTCAAGTTATCTAATATACTGAAATAAAACATGTCCATTCACTACGCCCATTAGCAGACACCAAGAAAGGACCAGACACAGGAACAGAACTTGCACACACACTCAAGCCATCTGTCTACAGCAGTCCTGACCACCCAGGAAACACTCACCCATGGAATAAAGGTTGTCAAAATTCTGATGCATCCGAATGATTTCATAATACAGCTCATCATAGCTGCTGGGAGTGGGGAGGAAGGTGTCTCCATAAGTGATGAACATGTTGAAGAGGTTCACGACCTACACACAGAAGTGAAACCAAGTTACAACAGATCTATTATACAAAGCCTAATTGACAGAAACAATATAAACTATGCGCAGAACCTTCAAAGAAACAAACTTTTGGTTATATTATGTATAATATTATTTCATTGCTTCATCTACTATTTCATCAGTGCAAAAGAGACAAGAAGCTTCAATACTGCCATAACTGGGGCCTGGAAAAMGAAGTTTCTTGTATTTTTTGTACATAGGGTTCTAAAGTTTCCTAAAGTTCAATTAAGATGAATTAAGTTGCTTAAAGTAGAGGGTTTGCTTTCCCCATACTCACCATAAGAGCCAGGATAAAGATGTTGTGTTTGGCCAGCAAAACAGTCTCATTAGACATGAGGAATTTCAACAAGTTGATCAAAGCTAAGAGATGAAAAAAATTCATGTACATATGCATATTAAAATCAAAAGCAAAGCCATTCTCAAAAAATCACTTAGCAAACGACAGTTAGATGACTTAGCAAGTGACAGTTATTTTCACATTCCAGGTTTATTTTCCCTCACTGACCTCCCAAAATTGTTCAGGGTCCAGGTGAACTACTTGTCAACTTAGTGAGTTCACCAGGGATTTTACTACCTCCCACCTCCTCAAGTGTGAGCTGGAAACCCCCCATCTCTTTTCTGCTTAATACATCACCAGCACGATGCACACGGAGTCAGCCCCAAACTGTCACTCCTGCTGATACAGGAGGCTGAGACAAGACACAACAGAAGCTGGCACTGCTTTGCTGCAGCTCCGCTATCTGGGTGCCGCTGCGTTGGCACGCAGAGCGCTACGCCGCTTTATTGTGTCAGTTATCCAGGGCTGTGCAGCAAAGACAACAGATCTGGTTCAGGCTTGTCTTAAAGCAAAACAAAGGCTCAYGGGACAGTGATCATGGCAATTAACAAAAGGGTTGGCTAAAAGAGCTTTAATCACACAAATTTTACAAACAATTGTGTTCTGTACACTTGGAAGATGGAAATTTCTTAGTGTTGCTGCTTGCAGAAATTTCAAAGAGAAAGCTATTTTCTTCTGTGTGAYGCCTGCCTAAAAGAAATTCTTAATGTACTCTCTGCTCTGCAACCAATGGGTTTAATGACTTAAGACTTTTGTATTAGGCAGCCTGCAAAGTCAAGCTGGAAAGCTATAAAGGCATTTTTAAAAGGTGCTTAATTACCTACTAATTGGTAACAACATCTAAGAGGTAATGCCAGGCAGGCTTTTAATTCTTACRGGCACAACTTCACTTTGTGAAATCTGCTCTCTCCCCCCTGCCCCAGCTCGTGGCAGCACCTGCATGAAACACGTCGCTCCTCCCAGTCCCCGGTAGTCAAGAACGAACATCAAAATAGGAGASAACAGTCCTGCAGCCCTGAATCAAAGCCACATTAACAGCTATTGCCCACTGCCAAAGAGCAGATTGGRGACATGTCATTTGAGAAGGGAAAAAGATAACCACAGATTTTAAAAACTTAAATACAAGCTCAATTTGCTAAGCAGTATAAGGATACTGGATTGCAGTCTACTCCAAATGTTTTCACTACTGATGCAGCTGTTACACACTACACAGTAACYTGTGAGAAAAGGAACTGAAGTTGGGGAGAAGGCTGCAGAGTGGGTAGAGCACAGGGAACAGAAACACAATAGGCAGAAAATTATGGTCTCCCCAACCCCAAAATCCCAGAGTATTCACAAAAAGTAAAATAATAAAACCTATAGCAAAGAGACAGATGTCAAGAGATTGGCAAAGACTAGAATTAAACAGATTAGAGAACCTGAATACAGTCCCGAAATCACTGCCTTCCAATGCTAGAAGTTCTCCAGTATCAAAATTTTACTTATGTCCCCCAAACAGGAAGCTCACAGGCCAAGTGAGGCTGTTTAGTCACTATCGAGGGAGATGCTGCTTTAGTTTTCCCTACAAACTGGAGGCTTGGAGCTGAACCGCAAACCAGAACAAAGTTTCCTGCAGACTCCAGACTCGCAGGCCATTTCCCCTTACAAGATGCTCCAGGGTTAACAGCCCCTCCGCAGCCCCTTCACTAAGCAGAAATACTGATCTGTTCTCAGCCCAACTGCAAAAGTCCTGAGGCTGTTGCCACCACCTCATCATCGGACACTAACACTTGGGACCACAAGCAGAGGCCGGGCTAATCCAACACCGCAAATACTCCTGTCAAGACATTTCTCTGCAAAACAGCCCTTTCCAAACAAAGGAGTAGCAGGTACAGATGGGCTCTCCGCTGGAGCAGAGCTCCAGCTCAGCCCAGGTTTCCAAGGTAACCAAGTCTCCACAGCAAAAGCCACGGCCTCCCGCAGTCACTGCTTTGCATCGAGGGCCGCTGCCCGCGTCCCTGTCACAGCTGCTTATTGGCCATTTTTCTTTTTAATAGTTATGAGCATGTTTTACCTCCTGCCCAGCCAGAACAGGCCATATAGTCACATCTTCTGACCAAGTTTTGCTGTTCCATTGTTAGMAGCTGGCCTTTCTGGAAGCAGAGGGAAGCCTGGAATTTTCCTACCACCACCTCTCATTTCTGAGCTGGAAAGGCCTTTGGCAGGGGACAGCAGCATGGCCTGAAAAGAAGTCCTTGAACATCCAGATACAGTGAACAAGAAAGCTCATAGCGGAGAGAGGTTTTTAAAAACAGAATGTAAACTTGTATTATTCATTTGCTGACAGGGCAAATATCCTACAACTGCCTACAACTRTTTCTCAGACACCTCCCTAAAGCACATGCACCACTCCATTTTGATGGCAACACTTGGAAAAACCTAACCAATCCTCCGGTCCACCCCAACAGCAGCTCCTGTGTCTGTTCCAGCAGCAGTAATGAATTTGCTCATGTTTAATTCTCCTATTTGTTAGGAAAAAAAAAAAAACCAAAACCCAACATTACTGATGCTTGAAACCAGTTTTTGTACCCAAACCGCACTACATAACAGCCCACCCGCAGTCAATCTGTGCTGCTGCTCCCCAGGATCTAGGGAGGCAGGGAACAAGGAAGAGGAGCTCTGGTTTGGGCTCAGGCCTAATGGGAAGAACAAACTGCCAAATTTGCAGCCAGTGTGGGCACTGCACGGATAAATTCACCTGTCACCTGGGAACCCTGCATTTTTAAGACAGCTGCAGTGACCCTACACTTATGGGCAGTGCTCCATCWGTGTGCAGAGAGCCAGCAAGCTTTTCTTGCACCACAGCTTTTGCATCAGTCTATCCGTACAAGAGATGTAAAGAAAGGAGCAGGAACACTGCAGAGTTTGGGTCCTTAAAACCAGGACCACGTGCACCTCACAAGCCTGCTTGCAATGGCAGGCACTGTATGGAAGTGAGCAAGGGCTGAGACTTCTCAGGATTAACAATTTTTAAATCCAGCTTCTGACACCCRCTGCTCTTCAGTGCCACTGCACAGACAAGAAAATCTCAGAGCAAACGTTCAACTGGCTGAACACCATCCATTCCTGAGCACCAACGGGACAATATTACTACTCCCGGGCAATCTGAAACCAAACCAGATGCGWCTCTCTCTCTCCCCGCTGCAATAAATTGTTCTTCTCTCATATCCCATGTGCAGGCTACCCTTTCCCATGCTAGTCAGGAAATTTACCCATTTCTGCTCCCAGCAGAGCCACGGCTCAATTTCTGAGCTGCACAGACAGACAAAACTGTGATCCCTGCTTGGGTTCTGCCCTGTTATTCATGTTTGTCCTTCAGGACTTAAATGATGCACAGTGTGGACAAGAGATTTATTTCAAGACAAACTGGAAAATGGCACCACTTTTAGAATACTCTGGCATCTTTCTGCCCTAAAGATACCAGTCTTCCCCRTTGCTTACCAGAATACAATACACCCACCACACAATCTCAAAACACCCATAATTTCACAGCACAGTAGCGTCACTAGAGTTCTCTAGCAACAAAAGCAAGAGGGTGTAACTAAACCAGCAGCAATCAGTATTTGCATGCAAGCTCTTCATTTTGTGTCCTGAGCTGAGCAAACCTGCTATGCTTCCCAAAACAACAAGTAGAGAAGGCATCTTTGAAAGCTTACAGTTACAGCCACACACACACACACAAAACCTCTAAAGCTTGTGGAGTGGACACTTAAAAGAGCATGAAGCCATATGACTGGCTGTATTGGAAAGTGGAATGAAGTGTCTGGATCAGTTTTCAGGCAATTTTTTCTCCCAAGGATTACTACAGTCAAAATATATATATATATATATATATATATTTTTTTTTTTTTTTAACCACAATGACTGTATTTGAAGAAGTTCTTAGTTCCAGCACTATACAGCTGCTTTTGAGGACTGACACTTTCCCTTATCAGCCTTGTAGCCAGCCTTTCTACTAAGGAGCAGAAATACTCCTGCTCGGACATTTGCCACCCTACTGCAGGCCAATCCTTTCAGGAGGCTGTGAGCAGCCAGCTGTTCCTCCTCACTGGCACTGAGAAGGAAGCAATTCCTATTTCTGGACTGATGCCCTACATCTCCTCCCTCCCCTCTTCCTTCTCCCATAGCAGGTTTATACTTCCCCGCTTCCGCACAAGGCAGATCTACCCTCCCTGTAAGCCTTGTTTTTAGAAGTAGTAAACTTGGCCTCAGCACGTTTAGGATTCACACCAAGTTTCCGTTCTCTTTATTGATTCCCTGTTCATCGTTTGGATCATTGATGCACAAGGGGCAGGGGGGCAGAAAATAGAAAAGAGGAAGGAATAGTTCAGTCCCTTCGGCAAGTCGCAGCGTAGCCCAGACTTTGCCAAGAGCACTAAAGGCTCCAATGTGCTGCTGTACAACAGAGCAGAAAAGAACAGTCCAGAGGCACACATTGCTGACATCCTGCATGGGATGAGCACAGTCTGGAGGTCTTTATCACTTCTGCTGTGTTCACAGGTCAGAAATCTTCTAATGGAGCATATAATGGTTCTCAGAGGAGCAAGTGGGGAAAAAAAAAAGCTTAGGGCTCCCCAGAAGTTGCAATGTCAATTAAAAGGAATCCTGCGTGCTACTAATATCCTTTAATCTTCTAGTCAGATCTCTTGAGGTCTGGAGGCACTCTGGGAGGAGCACTAATTTCCTGATTCCCTTCAAAAGGTACCATACTGCTAACAGCCTCCAGCACTATCTATATCCAAGGCCTTGTCCTGCTTTCTCAGGGGTTCCTTAGGACGATTCCCACCCACACAGCACTGCAGGGCAGCTGGGCAAAACCTCCTTGCTGCAGGGAACTCCTCTACCCTTGGGTTCCTCAGCAGCACAGCAGTCATTCTGGACCTCCYGAGCCAGCCTGCTCGCAAACACAAACCCTCAAGAGGGAGGATGCCAAGCAGCATGCTAATGGCAAGAGCTGGCAGGGATTAGTGCACCAACCTGCACT